TCCTGGTGAATCTGCCTCTGTTGTGAAGATGATTGTTGATTTAAAATTTTATAGCGAAGGGAGCTATAGCATGCATTTCCATTTTTCACTGGAATGGAAATGTTGTCCGGAAGTGTCGTGGCTCCTCACCTCTCCTCGCAATGACGTCCCTGTCTGGGATGTGCGGTGCCCTTCTTCTGCTGAGAGCACTGAGGAAGAGCGGGCGTGGCCAGACCCAAAGCCTGTGGCCGAGGCGGCTCGCAGACAAGCGCACGTCTCGCTTCTGCCCTCGGGATGTTCTAGGGGCAGGCAAAGACTTTTTAAATAATGGTTTAAAATGGTTTTACCATAGCCACGAACAGAGGTCTAATTGTAGTGTTTTTATTTCATTGCAGGGCACATACTGTAGGGAGAAAAGATAAGTCAGGACCAGCAATTTCTCAAATAGAGAGGAGTGATGGATAAGAAAAGGCAATTTTGAAAATATTAAATAAATCATATTTTCAAAACCTTTCTTTGTGGAGGCCAACGGTCATATTACAAGGAGCTTAGAGCTCCTCAAAATGGCCGAACAGAACTAGCAGATGACAAGTGATATATTTTTTTTTCTTTTTGTGCCGATAAAAAAAAAAAAAAAGCTATGAGTCGGATTTATCTCAGCAGTGGCTGGTGTGAAGTGCCGTGGGGAGACGGTGATTTAGGTACAGTATTGACACTTACAAACTATATAGATCTGAAAGCGTGAATTTTTTGCTCTAGTGAAGTGGTGTTTACAAAACAGGGCAGACGCTCTCCCTGCAAATTAGATACCAGATGTCTGGGAACTAGTGTTGCGTCTAAATATAGTCAGAGCCACCTTCTGTGCAGCTAGCGAGAGATCATAACAGTAGGCATTTGATTAGCGTGGTGAAAGTCGTAGATATTTTATTAAATAATTTCACACTGAATAATTTATCCTAAAGAGTTAAACTGAAAATTTCTTTTTAGTAAGGATTGCATTGCTTTTATCTTAGACAATTCAAGTCTAACTCAATTATGGAATTATTATTAATTAATAGTTATACATGAAGATAGTTATATTTTCTTTGGTCTTGAGAAAGCTCATAAATCTTTCTAATATAAAGCATATCCTTATTGAAAGGTAAAATATTTAATGTTGAATACATTTAAATAGAAATTTGTAGTTGCTAAATTTCAGATTTTAAAACAAGAGAGGTAAAGACTTAGTTCAAAACAGAAATTGGAACATGATATACACTGTAGTATCCTTTGATTCTCACATGTTACCAGATTAATTATGGAAATTCTTCTAAGCAATTATAAGGAAACAAATGAGGTGTGGCTGCTTGGAAGTTAAGTAAGCAGAATTCAAAGCAAATGAAAATATTTTTTTCCTCTAGTGGCTTGCATGTCCTAGAAATTACTGCTTTAATGGATTGATGTAGCTTCATTTCTTACTTCAGAAAGGAAAACTGTAATAGCGATTGTTGATTATTGGCTTAAATACATTTATAAATCATTCAATGGCTTCATACCGTTTACTTAAGCTGACAGCATTGAAAATATTTTAGTCAATAGATGCTGTTATTTATGGCTCGAATTTCCCTAGTTTGGGGGGGGAGACTGTTCTCTAAAATTCTTATTAAAATCTCCTTTATTTTGATACATAGGTTCATGTTTAGCCAACTCACAGGTAGTATTTACTGTGCATTTCTATAGTAGGCACTTAGCATGTTCATTTCCAATCCTCCCTCAATCCTGCTTCACAGACAGTGCTGTTCTCATTTGATGAAGGAAAGGAACCTCAGAAAGGTTACAGGACTTTAGGGAGGCCACCGTCCTGAGCTGGGACGCAGCTCCAGGCCTGCCTGGCCCTCAGTGTCTTTTTCCTCTGTGAGCATCTGGCGCTAGACTTCATCTCCTTTCTCACCTCCTCTCCTCCTTCTGCGTCCACCCCCCTTCTTCAGGGAACAGTGAGAGACCGCAGGGTCCTATACCGACCAGCAGAGCCCAGTTCATCCCGTGAAATGACAGGACAGTGCACTCAGAAGCTTTTGTCCCTGACCGATGGGCCAAGGGAATCCCTCACCCAAAATTCTAAACCCATTTCTGCAGAGTACCATGACATTTAACTCCTTTTCCCTGCGAATGGAGGTCGTCTTGATAGAAATACTAGCAAATGCACATTCATAAAATCTGGCTTCAGTTCTTTTCCTCCCCACCTTGATGGACTTAAGTTTTGAGGATAAAGAAAATGGCAGTGGGGACAGAAAGCCAAAGTGACAGACTGGTGAGGAACTTGGGGGATGGGCTATGGGAGTGGTAAATTCGGATATGTATATTTCTTTTATTTTGGCTCTTGTACAGCCTGTTTTCTGTTTCCTTCTCTAACACCAGTAAGAAGTGCTGAAATTGCTCAGAAGACTGATACAGTCATTGTGATGAACAAGCACATTAGTATGCGAGGGAGACGGGCTGGCTGGTAGGAATATCAAGTGCCCTTCGGCTGAAAATATTGTTAGCTTTGCTGCCCCTTAAAGGTCATCAAAACGTGCTAGAAAAGAAAGAGTCCGGAATGAATCCAAAAGGCTTATTTCTCTAGGCTTTTGCCAATCCCGACATCTGGTGTATTGTCATGTCAACTAGTGACAATGGAAAAACAGGCAGCGTTAATGAGTCGACATCATATAATTCAGCATGTGTCTTTTAGAGATAAATTCAGGATAATAAAATTAAGTTGTTATACAGGAGGGAAATCCTGATCATTATAAACATTGTAAATGATTATTAAATATGAATATATATTTAAACATTGGTAAACTAAAACTTTATTAATTTACTACTACTTTGCTGATGAAACTGAACATACACTGTTACATATGCAATGTGTATTTACTTATGCAATCTATTTGGAAAGTTAATATTATAATTTTCATATTTTCTTATTTAAATATTTACAATGAAAATCAATGTATGTTCTCAAGTTCTGTCAAGTTTCACTCTTCAATCAAGTTATTTAATGATAAAACAAACAGATGCATATGATGTTTAAAGCATCAGTTTTCATCTTAGAATCTGGAACTTGAAACATGCTCTTTCCCCAAGAGAATGTGATTCATGATGATAACTTTTGCATTTTACTTAATGAGAACACAATGTTCTAATTTTTTATAAATTATTAGTTTGCCACCAAATTTTGTCCTATAAACAAAAATTTATTGATATGCATTGTTGCAATTGTGTCTTGACTATATAATAACACTCTTGCACCTTGGAGAGCTGCAATACACAAAAGCAAACAACAGTAACTTATTTCAACTGAAAACTCAAGAATTACATGTCTGGCTTACCAATTTTCCTAGATAAGCAAGAAATAATGATAGGTAGAAACTTTTTATCTATTTGTACAGAGAGGAGACATTTAGTCTTCTATTGAGACTTGTAATGTTTTTAATTTAAACCTCAATTATCATTGTTCTGCCCACTCAAGATAAACAGTAGCACAAAAAAGTGGGTGGGCGTTGTATCATTTCCAGAGCATACTCAGGGAGTTGCTTGTTTTCCTTCTTCTTTTTATAAATGCTTGGTAAGATTTAATTTCCATTGCCTTTTTCTCCTGAAGTTACAGTGCAGAAGAAATGCAATAAAGGGAAATCTGAATGAAACAGGCTGTATTTTTTAAACTGTAAGAGATGAGGAATAAAGACTGTGTACATAATTGAAATTCTCTGAATAGCTAAGAAATAGAACCCAATAGGAGAAAAGTGTTTTTAATTTTTATTACACTAAGTTAATGACCATTTTCCACTAAAATTTAGAATCCTATATAGCTTTTGGCTCCCGAATTTGAGTTATTTACTTACATTACAGTATTTCATTCACACTTTCCTAAGCTATTGCTATAGAGTAGGGGTTCTCAAACTACAGCCCACCAAGGGCATTTATCCAGCATGCCAGGTGTTTTTGCCACTGCTGGCAAAAACCGACTCTTCCCGGGGCCACAGTGTGCATGTGTGGAATGTGCGCCGTGCTCTCCAACGGCCTCCCACGGTCTGAGGGACAGTGAACTGGCCTCCTGTTTAAAAAGTTTGAGGACCCCTGCTATAGAGTCTTGTTGCAGTAAACCTTATCAAGCAACAACTTATTATTTGTGCTAAGGAGGAAATGAAACAAAACTGCTGTTTAGACTAGAGACTTTAATTTTGAAGAGGTGTTAGAAGGAGAAATATAGCAATGAAATTAATGACAGCAATAAAATATTCCCGCAGAAATGTACAGTATTACCATTTGCTACAACGCCTTGCATACTATACTGTGTGAGTGAGTGTGTGTGCTTTGAGAGGCAGGGTTACACAGAGGGAAAAGTATTGATTCTGGAGTTGGGCCATTTGTAGCCCTGCCTGGACTGGGTTGTTGTAATTATTCATTAATCTTACTCACAGGTAATATTAAGAGATGCCCTAAGGGATCTCATGTAGTCCAGACATACTCTTCCTTAGCTTCACTGTGGAGCAGTAGTCCGGTTTCCCCTTGGTAGTCCAGGTCTCTGTCACCCCAGTCAACACCACAGCTCCCTGCTGAGCTTGTTGACACAGAGGCGTGAGGTGCCCAAAGAGCTGGGCGGTGGTCTCAACTTCCAGCTCAGTGGAAGCATAGTTGTGTCTCCCAGTGGAAACATTTCTCCCCCTGGAACTAAGACCTCTAGGCCAGCAGAGCATAAAGTCAGGAAGCAAAAATTTTGCTAGCGGGTCACTAGAGGTGGTGGTGATTAAGGGTAATTCCGAAGGCGCCATGAGTCCGGGGTGGGTCGATTCCGGAACATGCATATGGCTCTCCGGATTTGGAAAGTGCACGCTCAGGCCCTCCAGATAAGAATCAAATTTCCTAGTATGTGCATTAGTATCTGGGTCACCTTGTTGAACACTGAGTGAGAATAATTTATATTACACAGGAATTGATTGTGTCTATTAGGATTTACTTCGACTCACAGATTTTTGTTTTCCTTTTTTTTTTTTTGACAGGTTCCTGGGCAGATCGATCACCCCTACATGAAGCGGCAAGTCAAGGGCGTCTTCTTGCTCTAAGAACTTTATTATCACAGGTAATATATTACATATAGCTTAACATACGCCTCCTTCCCATGAGCACAGAACTTAAAACATTGTCAAAGCAAATCAATTCAAAAATAATAAAATTACTTACATTTTACTAAGGCCCTATTATTTTTAACTCATGTCAGGCAAGTCAATAGTTAATAGTTTCTGGTTTATCTTTGAAAATTCTTATTAATGTTTTGATATAATCATATGTCTCAGAATTTCAAATTCTCATACAGTGTATTTGTTCATTGATAGACATTTAAGCGGGTAGTAATTGGATTTATGTAACGTTTATTAAGCAATCTATATATGCTTAACTCTGTGCAATGAGTACAGCTGATTACAAACAGATCAGTAATAAAATATCCAAAAAGGAAGGGGTAATCAGACCAGATGCCAACACAATCTTTTTTTTAACATTATGGTTATCTCTACTATGTTACGGGGAATTGCCTATAAAAGCAATAGGCCAATTATTTCTATACTTACCTGTTCATCAAGTAAGACTCCCCGGAGAAAAAAATGAAAAGCACATTCCTTATTGAACAGAAAGTTCGAGAACTGTGGCTTGGGCCCGTGCATTGTTTCAAGCTTACGATGTGATTCAAATGTACACTCAGATCTGGAAGTCATTGCTCTCGTGTTCCCAGTGTCAAGGAGAGAGGAGTTTTCTCCGAGGGCTGGGAAGGAGGGACAGGTGGTGTTGCCTAGTGTAGACAGCACTGCCCGGGACGCCAGACCCGGCTCCCCAGACCCGGCTCCCCAGACCCGGCTCCCCAGACCCGGCTCCCCAGACTGGCGCCGCAGGTGAACCGTAACCTATCCGAGCCTCATTTTCTCATCTGTACAATGAAGATGTAGGATTGAGATGCTCCCTTGCGATAACCATGTGGCTGTTTTGTTTTGCTCATCACTTGATGGGGGCAGGGGGCGAGAGATGAAGAATCCTGTGAAAACGTCAGTAATTGCTAAAGGGCGATTCCTCAGAAAGGGTCATGCGGTCCTGCGAGAGAAGAGCAGTCTTAGGGTATTTCTCAGTGGGTCTCTCCTGTCCACTGACAAGCCAGCCCAGGAGGGCAGGAGGCTGCCCCCAAGCCCGATGGACCAGGGAGTCTCACCTTCTCAGACGCTGCTGTTAGCTGGTCACTCTGTGTGTCGCTGTGGGATTAGCTCCCCGAGTCTGACTGCTTGCAGGCCAACACAACATCTTTGAAAGGATAATTAAAACAGGTCTTATAAATTGCCAGTTGCTAGTGACAAAGATTTGGGGAGTATATCTATTTCCTTGCCTTCATTTTAAGATTCTTCACGTCCCTTCTGGTTTTACATATTGTGGTGACCCGTAACATGTTATGAGGATTTGGCTTTGAAATTCTTCCTACTCATGTGCTCAGTATGACTGTCAATAGACGTTAAATTACCAAAGATATCAAAAGGGCCAAGTATCCCACATCCTAGTAATATTGAATTATTTTAGTCTGATATTATGAGTTTATTTGGACTAAAATGAAAAATTGCTTACTTAGTTTTGATTGAGTAATGATACAATAAAATCTAACATTTTCTATATGCTGGGCATTGTGATAATATTTACATACATCATCTTGCTTAATTTTCATGAAAAATTAAAATCTAGAAGTTAAGGCATTTGCCCAAATTAAAAGTTACTGCTTGAGGGAGCCAGACTTCAAACCTAAGTCTAACCGAATTTACAGGTCAAAGTTCTTAACCACTAGCATGTAACTTCATCATACCTACTTAGTTACAAAAATCCACAAAGCAGTTTACTATAATTTACAATGGCCCCACCCCCACACAGTAGGTGCACAGCAGGTGCACAGCAGGTGCACAGCAGGTGAACAGCCAGAGAGCTTCATTTGTGTTTGCAGCCGCTCCCTACTGCCCCATCACCCCCTGAGTTCCACTATCCAGATCAGCTACACTATCGTGAACTGTATAGTTATTTCATTATATATTACAATATAATAATAATAGAAATAAAGTGCGCAATATATGTAATGAGCTTGAATCATCCTGAAACCAGCCCCCACCCCCACCCCCATCCCCAATCCCCTGCCATCCTTGCAAAAATTGTCTTCCATGCAACCAGTCCCTGGTGCCGAAAAAGCTGGAGACGGCTGATTTAGAATATTTTTCCCCCAGGCTGGGCTGATCCGTTTTAGAGCCCCAATCAAAACAAGTGATTCAACCTATAAACAATCTTTACTTCTATAAAACAAAATACAAAATAAAGATTCCCCCCTCCCTCCAAAAAAAATAAACCCATAAGAAAGAAAAATTTAAAGAAAACATGCCGGGCCGGGCACGGTGGCTCACGCCTGTAATCCTAGCACTTTGGGAGGCCGAGGTGGGTGGATTGCTCAAGATCAAGAGTTCGAAACCAGCCTGAGCGAGACCCTGTCTCTACTAAAAATAGAAAGAAACTAATTGACCAACTAAAAATATATATATACAAAAAATTAGCCGGGCATGGTGGCACATGCCTGTAGTCCCAGCTACTCAGGAGGCTGAGGCAGGAGGATTGCTTGAGCCTAGGAGTTTGAGGTTGCTGTGAGCTAGGCTGACGCCACGGCACTCACTCTAGCCTGAGCAACAAAGTGAGACTCTGTCTCAAAAATAAATAAATAAATAAAAATAAAGAAAACATGCCGGAATCTATTGAACATAATACTCGAGGCATTGTCAGGTCTAGGCATGATGGTGGTACAGTAACAGAGCTAAGGAGTTTTGACAAGTGATTCACGCTGTGGCATTTGGACTGGCCAGTCCTGCTAAACTGGAAACTGATTGCCTTGAGGTTCTTTGATCTTTAAAACTATATCGCTCTTCAATGACATCAGTAGAAATGATTTTATGTAAGTTTTTGTTCACCTTTCAAGATTACCTATGTCACATTTAGGGTTATAACGTGAATGCCGTAACCATAGACCATGTCACGCCGTTGCATGAAGCCTGCCTCGGAGGTCACGTGGCCTGTGCCAGATCTCTTCTGGAAGCAGGAGCTAATGTAAGTGTCTTTCAAAAACATTATCGGTTTCACATCTACTGATCGAGAGCATCAAAGCTCTCACTTTGCTCTTCTTTCCTTTTTTCTCAGTAGTTTTCAAAAATAGCAGAATAAAAATAAAGCTCTTGAATTGCCTCAGCCTTCTCATTGCACTCTAAAAAGGATTTCCAATCATTGCATAAATGGGAAGCGTGCATAATCATATAGAACATTCTTTAGGTTATCTCCTCCTTTTGCGACTCTAAATAGCAATAGATGAACATCTTTTTGCCTATAACATTCGCCCATATTTTGGATGATTTTTCCTTAGAGAAATTCTCAGAATTAACCAATTTTAGCAGTTTAAACTCGCAAGTCACAACCTTCGTCACCATTACATTGAACTAACTCTTGTTTGATACTCGGGTATGTATTTTTTTCATGGTTTTCACTAGTTGTATGCCCATTCCTATGAATTATCTGCCACATCATATTTCTCTTTCTCTTAAAGTGTTAAAGCGTTTCTTATTGGCGTATATGAGCTAAATATATTTTGTCACATTTACAGCACATGTTTCCCCAAGTATTTCTGTTAGCAAATTGCATAAGATCTGAAAATACGTAACTAAGCCAGTTTATCGCATATGATTTAGGAATCTCATTCTTAGAATTTCTGGTTTGGTTTAGGTGAATGCCATCACGATAGATGGTGTGACTCCCTTATTCAACGCGTGCTCGCAAGGCAGCGCAAGCTGCACAGAACTTCTTTTGGAATATGGCGCCAAAGCCCAACTGGAGTCATGTCTTCCATCTCCCACACACGAGGCTGCCAGTAAAGGTAACTTAGCTACGGGAGTAAGTGCCCAGGGGGAGAAAGTTCCTCCTGCAATGTGCAGTGCTCCGTTTATCTTTCGATGAATAACTCTGCAGGGAGAAGCATGGGCTGGTGCATACAGGAGATGGCCATTAAATAAACTCATCTCTACCTTGTGTTGGCAGGTCACCATGAATGCCTTGACATCCTGATATCCTGGGGTGTAGATGTGGACCAAGACATTACTCATTTGGGAACACCCCTCTATGCAGCTTGTATGTCACAGCAATTCCATTGCGTCTGGAAGCTTCTTTATGCTGGTATTTTCCTTTAAAACATCTTCCATTTCGCCCATACACACAAGCAACTATTTATTTCTCTAAATCAGCTTCTTTAAAACTGATATCTTATTGCTAAAAATGTTCTTATTACTGTATAGCATTCTCACCTATACAAATATAACCAATAAGAAAGAACTTCATTCTTGTCCAGTCCACTTCATAGCTCACAGATGAATACATAATCCTTATATTTTGTATAGATAGCATTGGCAGACATTTGAGGGTGTAATACAATCTGAAAGCCTTACTTATAAAAGATCATAAATTAAGAGCTTAGAGTTTGAATTTATTATTACCAAGTACCTATTTATCTGGAAACAAATCCATCAAAAGAAATTTTAGGGATAGTAACTGTTTAGACGATGTTATCTTCTATCAACCATAAAAACTCATGTTCTTGCCTAGACTCTACTTTCTGTCCTGGTTACTTGGGAAGAATTATTGCCCTTTCCCAGTTACTGGAAGCAAAGCAATTCCTCAAGGTTGAGCTTTAACCCCCAGAGAAATATTCCTAACCTATCGAGACCATAGTGGCCTCTTCCACTGCAGGACTGGGAGCTGCGTTAGGATATGGACTACGCCTTTTTCTACATCATCTCCTGTCTCTGCCATGGTTCCTCCTCCTCATGTGATAGATGCTTAGAATATATGTAAAATGAGTAAATGGATTTCTATGCTATTTATTGTTTATGACAGCCATTTGAAATTAAATTAAAGCCCAATAAGAAATGGGCTTTAATTTAATATATACTATATACTATATATATATAAAATTTAATATATACTACCCTTTTTTGTGCTACTCACATTATCTTAGCTAAGTTGGAAACTTCTTGCAAGCAGGGTGTGCATCTACTATTTCCTTCCCATTACATCTACTGTGTTTCCCCGAAAATAAGATAGGGTCTTATATTTATTTTTCCTCAAGAAGACACCCTAGGGCTTATTTTCAGGGGGTGTGTTATTTTCCCCTTAAAGCCTCAGCTTGCAGTGCGCACAGGATGGCCGGGACCTGACAGGGGGAGCCGACCTTGTTGGTGGGGGCTGCCCGCATCTTTCCGGTCACCTCTGGGATAGTAGCTGTCATGACGGGGCAGATGAGAAGGGCTGCTCGTCTTCTTTACCACTCCACGACGACATGCATGGGTTGTGCAGATGCGCTGCGTAGCCACGCCCATCACTAGGTCTTATTTTCAGGGTAGGGCTGATATTGTGCAAATGCTTAGAAATCCTGCTAGGTCTTATTTTATGGGTAGATTTTATTTTTGGGGAAACACAGTAGTAAGAGTCTTAAATATCAATCAGCTCTGTCAATAACTGTTGCCAGATTGTTTATTCTCTGTCCATGTTCTTCCGTCAATTTGGTTTATCCAATAGAGTTTATGCTCTATCACCTTTCTTTAGTTTGCTAGGAATATTAGTTTTTCCACCAAACATTTCTTATTGGGCTTTAAAAAAATATCAAAAAAGTACTGTTAGTAATTATTGATTCGTTGTTAGTTTCAGGCCCCGTTCCTCCATAAAATTGACATAGCTAACGTTTATGCTTTCTCTATGGACATTTTGCCATGGTATATAATTTTCCCACCAAACCTTTTATATTTGTTTTAAAAATATTGAAAATGATTACATTTATTGAAATTTGAAAGCAGCAGGAGGGCCATGAAGGGACGCTTAATATGTACTACTTCCTAAAAGACATCATTAGTTTTACAGATAGTATCGGAAAACAGAGTTGAAAAGAACTTATGCCTTTTTATTGGTAGATGTTTATTGGTGTTGTAACCACTTATGTACTAGAAAATCAGATTATTATTTTTTACAATATGAAACAGCATTTATTCATTGCGCATGAATCAAATGACCGCCATATGTGAGGTTTTGCACTAAAATAAAATAACTATGCAATAGGTAATTTAACAGGTAGGACTGTGTTTTTTAAACCTAAGCATTTTTTAAAAATTTACTTTGAATGCAGATACTTTGCATGCTCAGTGTCTTTATATATTTATTAACTTAAACTACATGAGTGAGAAGTGGCAGAAAAATCTATACAAATTTTACCTAAATAGCTCAAAATGTCTGGATTTGTGAGTTTTGCCAGCAATCAAAGAGCTCTATTGCCTTAAAATAAATGAAAAGAATAAGAGCAAAAAGCTCTCAAATATTAATAATTCTTACAGCTGTCAACCATGATGAAAATCCATAGGACTGATCTTAACTGTGTACTGTTCATAATATTGACATTAAAGTGATTACTTTTGTAATCATTTAAAAATTAAATTTTTAAATTATATTTCAAGCATACAGAAACGTCTTAGAGAACAATGTAACATGTATATGCACCCGCTTCATATGTACTCAGTTTTAAGGTTTAATAGATATATATGTATATACGAAGCATATATATGTATATAAGTATGTATGTACCATATATGTATAAAGAAATAAATCATTACAGATAGAGTTAAGGTGCCCTTGTGTCTTCCTCAATTGCCTTCCCTTTCTTCCCCCGCCAAGATACCTAATTTATCTAATGATTTTTGTTTATAGTTATCATTACTCCCTATGTCCCCATAGGTGCTGATGTACAGAAAGGCAAATATTGGGACACTCCACTACATGCTGCTGCTCAGCAATCCAGTACAGAAATACTAAACTTACTGCTGGAATTCGGAGCAGACATCAATGCCAAAAACACAGAGCTTCTACGACCAATAGATGTTGCTACGTCTAGCAGTGCAGTGGAAAGAATATTGCTTCAACATGAAGGTGAGAGGAACACGTGTGGAAAATTATATGCACAAATATATATTAGCCTAAAATAGATGCAGTCTATAGACTTTTTGTTGGCATGTAAAGTAATAGTGGCATAAAGATTGGAATTATTTTTGTGAAAGTAGGTGATTTTTCAACCCAGGTTCTATCGATATAGAAGATATCATGACGTTTTTAATATTCCTTTCTCGTCTTACCTAAACTATCATATTCCCTTGGTTAAATATATTCAGTTTTTGTTTTGACAAGGCATGATATGGAGTTCTGATATAACATTTGCTAATTTATGTTTGGAAACATGCCCCATTTTATAAGGGCATGCAGCTTCTAGAACATGTTGACGAAAAATATAATCAGGAAATATTTTCACATTTAAGACTTTTGTTCTAAAACAGAATTTCTTAAGCACTATCCAGGAACTAAAATAAAATTTCTTTTAGCCTAAATATTAAAGTTAATTTGATGAAAAATATGTAATGTTTAACTTTCCTCTTTTAGTGCATAACACTTCTCAGGGCTTTTAATTTGTATTTCCTTTAAAAAGTAAAATTTACCTGAGGCTTTAAATGGAACAATAATTTCATAAGCCTAAGGATTACAATGTTTTAAAGAACAAATATGGACTATATCTCAATGTTAACAAGATCTCATAAATAACAGCAATATAAATGCTTAAATTCCCCTAGTATAGTGGTCTCATACTATCCTAGTTTACTACAAAGCATGGGAGATTTTTTATGTATCTTACAACATATAAAAATTTATTTCTATTTTAATTAATGGATACTGTCACGTCTTCTTGTAGCTACCCCAAGCTCTCTGTGCCAACTTTGCCGACTGTGTATCCGAAACTACATCGGAAGACCAAGATTGCACCTTATCCCACAGCTCCAGCTGCCAACATTACTGCAGAATTTCTTACTGTATCGATAAAGTAGTAAAATAATTCTAAATACCTAGAAAATCAAAAACGTCTATTTCATTCGCTTAATGAAAATTTTGTATTAAAATATGCTAATGATGGGGTAAAAGTGGTATGCGATCACCCAGTGAAGCAGTGAAGTATCAAGTTTCATTATAAGTGTATTAGTTAGGACTATTGTTTTATGCATTTTTATTGTTTTTGGAGCATAGCATACTTATAATATCCATATATTTGTAGCTATTCCAATATATCCTCTTGTTGATTTAGGGGAAACAAATAACGAAGTCTTCATTTTACGATTTTCTTTCTGAGTGGAAAACATAGAATTCTCACTAAAATTATGCATATGATATGGTAAAAGGCCTATATTCTTCAAATAATAGGTTCACTTTTTAATTTTGGCTACTGTAATTGGTTACCTCTGTTTCTGATAAATAAAATATGATTATGGTTTAGAAAAGAACAACTAATATGCTTTTTGAAATCAAGATGACTCTTATTCAGGAAATCCACTATGTTGAATGTGTGCTTATCATTATAAAGACCAATTCATAAAGATAAATTGGCCCTTCCCCTGCAAAGAACACATAAGTCACCTCTCCACAGTAAATGGACCTATAACAGAAACTGGTGAGACTAAAGGTCTCCCTCACCTGAAATGTCTAGAACATTGTACACCTGCTAAGGCTACCTTAAGACCCCCTTGTTCTCAAGAGTCGCCTCTGGAGGTTTTTTGTCCATGCTTTTATGTATATTCCTCTAGCCTTCTTCCATTTCAGAAATTGTCAATAGCTAGTGATATCTGCTGAAGAAAATGAACTTCATATCTGATTGACAATGAGGCCTGGGAACATTTTTCAGTGATCATCAGATCAGTCCAAGGCTATAAAAAATGGAAGATAAAATACTCCTTAAATTGTGGAGTTTTTAAAGAAGAAGTGCAACTTAGCACATTTAGAGAACTTAAAAATTTACCCTGTTTATAGACCTTCCTACCATGCTTCCCTGAAAATAAGACCTACCCATAAAATAAGCCCTAGCAGGATTTCTAAGCATTTGCACAATATCAGCCCTACCCTGAAAATAAGACCTAGCGATGGGCGTGGCTACGCAGCACATCTGCACAACCCATGCATTTCATCGCGGAGTGGTAAAAAAGACCAGCAACCCTTCTCATCTGCCCCATGAGAGCTCTACTGCTTGACATGAGAGATTGGGGCTAATGGAATCTAAAGGAAATAGAGTTGCAAGAAGTTCAGGATGGAATTCCGGGTTTGGAGAGTTATGATGATGTTCCAGAAGAAGACGACTTAATTATATTTGAATAAATGTAGAATGTTGTACCGTACTTAAAAAAAATAACACATCCCCTGAAAATAAGCCCTAGGGTGTCTTCTTGAGGAAAAATAAATATAAGACCCTGTCTTATTTTGGGGGAAACACAGTAGTAGTGGTGTTTCTAATTCCTTTTACACAAAGCAAAGGTTCAGAGTATTAGTATTTACAAGTACTAACAAGAGAGAGTTGTATAAAAGAAGATATTGCTGAACTAGTCCTCTGTAAGGACTGTGTTTATTCTCTTTAGCTTTAATTGTACTTAAGTGAAATAGGAAACATAATAAAATTTTGTGCCTTTTTTTTTAACTCAGATTAGATGTGGGTCCATTATGAATTTAGAAATCAAATAATTAACATATGACTCTGCATAAAGTAAAAAAATTGATGAGTTTTACAGATCTATTACATTTTGATAAAGTAAGTATTTTGACCACTAGTTTTGACCCAGGGCCTATTTTTCTCTCAGTTCTGGCTAACTTCCAGAGATTATGGGAAAATAAACCGTTTTTGTATATAACTCCAAAGTCAGTAAGTTTGCATTTTGGAAAAAAAAATCAGGTGTGATTAAAAACATTTGTTTAGATTTTCAAAACTAGAAAATAAGCTGTGGCATGTTTGTTAAACGCTGTAGTCTACATGGCTAGGGACTTTTAAATGTCTGTTTTACAGAATATCTCATTCTAATATTGGTAATGAATAATGTGTGTTATGATGTATTTTTATTATTGAATGACTTCGTTAAATAATCAGATATTAAAGCTGCCTTTTGGTAGAAACAGGTTTGTGCTAGTAATTTCCCTGAGCTAGAGGTAAAATCTTAGATCGTAAGAGTAAAGCAACACATCTCCCTTCATTGCTTGTGCCAATATGAGAAGTATCAAATATTAAAATAGACACTTTAAAATTTCAGCATATTTGTACCCTGTATCTTAGCTTGAGTATGATTGTCTTACCAAAGGAGTATTCTAATTTAAAAGTATCGTATATTTGTTATTATATTAAAGTGTGATTATTATCCATTGGAATAAAACACTTTGTGCTCTTCTAGTTAGTATTTTATTTTATAATGAAAGGTAATGGAGAATATGATTCAATTGCACTAATTTTTTTCACCACCCATTTCCAAATCACTGAATCACGAGCATTAAGAGTAAAGTAGTGCAGAATAAAAATAGATACCTTCGGGGTCCTTCTAATCCTAAACATACACATACATATACACACTAAAGAGCAAGGACAAAATTCACCAAAGGCAAAGAACAAAAAAATGTACTATTTGACATAAAAATGAAGAAATATAGTGAAATAATTGCTGTAGGTAGGCACTGTTAAAATATTTAGTTTGGAGGAAAAAGTATTTATCTTCCATTATTTTTATAACCACGGCAATATTTGATGTTCCTGAGAAAGTAAATAGAAACATGTGTTAAAGAAGGTCTGCATGTATCTATTGCTGTGGCTATATCCATTTACAAAGTAAGTTTATACAAAACTTTAAAACTTACCCTCTCTTTTTGATTATTCCTACATTTTTACTCTAATTTCTCTATTATTCTTATTATCCTTTATAATTTAGCTTATTGTAAGGCTTGCCTTTGATTTCAAAAACCTAAGAAAACATTCTCAGATGTTCAAAATAAATGGAAGAGAATTTATTCAGAAAATTCATTAGCTCCCCATCTACTCCGCAGCCTTATATAAGTCACTGCAGCTCTGTAGCTCCCAGTTTTCTCATTTGCTTAAATGATGGCTTTCTTCCCAGCTTGAGTCCTGTGCTCTAATTCCTTGAGTCTTTTGATACCTTTGGGAGTTCAAATACATTTTTAATTTTGTTTTTTTAATGAAAACCTTATATTGTGGGTCCACATTTTATAAACCACATATTTAGGTTTGCAAAACGTCAATGTTGTTATTCTAAACAGAACTTAATTTTGATCTCGAGCTTCCCCTTCCCCGAGGGAGATCAGGCCGTTTCTGAGCAAACTCAGTCAAGTCCGCGATCTCTCAGTCTATTCAGGTAAACTTTTCAGATGAACTCGGGCAATCCGAGCCTCTCTCCTCTCACTCCATTTCTTCCTGGGATGGCACCTAAATCCTGGAAGACTTCTGCGAAATCTACTCTTCAGAGTTGTGCGTCTGCCAGTGTCTGTCGTCTGGGAGACTGGCAAGGCAGTGAGGAGGTGACACAAGGCCTTTGCATTGATTTGATGTATTGATTCTCCTAAAACTCATCTTGCTTCCTTGCCTTTTACAAATGTTGTTCTTTCTGCCTGGTACACATCCTACTCCTGCCTCCATCTTATAACTGCTGAACTTCCACCAATAATTAGCTTAAAAATCACTCTTCCAGCAAACCTTCTTCACCTTCCCGTCTGGGTTGTACACACCCATCTATTCATTTTGGAACTCTGTGCGGGCCTCTAACGGCATTCATAATGCTATGGAATGCACTTTAATTTGCTAGTGTGTCTGTGTCATAGACTCTGAGTTCACCGTAGAACTTGGCTGCATCATACGTATAGCTTCCTCCTCATCGGTCAAAGATTCCTCTACATCTCCTCCCCATTAAGGGCCATCATGTTTCCTCTTCGATGAGCTTAAAACATCAAAGTTCTTTCCTTCCCTGCCCACCTGGGACGTGCGTGATTGTATGTGGAAAGCGAGCATCCTTTCTCCCGAGAGTGAGAATAAGAGAAAGGAGACGCTAAACCAAGTCAACTGCTTCCTTAATCGTTCTCCTCGTTGCAAAGACTGAAGTTAAGGACTTCACTGATGAAGAGGGTGACACTATTACCCAGAGTAGAGGCACATGAGGAGTTAGGAATCCCTGATCCAGGTCGTTTAGAACAGTTACCACTGAGCTCTCCCTTCCTCACCCTCCACTGGGCAATGTTAGATGACAGTCCCTTCCACAATGAGTGAAATGTGGGACTCGGGGTTAGAATGCAACCTAAATTCTACGGTCAGACTAGAATGGAGTTCTCAAGGACACTATTAAAAAACTTTTTAAAATTAAAAAAAAAATGAAGCCACCCCAAAGTTACTCATCTTCCCTGAACAATAGATGCCTTAAAAATCTGTGTCACCTCCAGGCCCTGCCAAGTCCAGCAGGTGCAGAGTGGATCATGAGCCACTCCCTCCACGGGCGGTTGGGCATGTCCCCCTGGAGCAGACGGCAGGCGGGAGGGTGGCTGGTGGTGTGGCACGAAGAAAATTGGAAGAAAATTGGGACAAAAGGACGCTCTGATGTAAGGTACAGGAAAATAAATACACCGCAAAGCAGTTAACAGAAGGACGTGAGACATAAACAAGTGCTATGAGACGGGAATGCCGTGGGCTTACGGTTGTGAAAAAGAGAGATAGAGACCCAGACAGCCATGGATTTCTAGTGATAGTGGCTGCCTTCACAGGAAGAGAGCAGACTTTTCATGGACTTTCCTTCTGTGCCTGCCTGCCTGCCCGAGGCAGCCCAACCCGCGGCCGGTGGCCACAGCTGCAGGAAATAGGAGACTCATGGAGCCCTCAGAGGTGGCAGGAAGAGCTGAGCACCAACATGGGTCCTCTGGGATGTTAGACACCACTGTTTTCCCACCAATTATTAGGAGAAATAAATCTAGTGAGTCTCTATTCTTTGAAACAAAAAGAGGTAACTAAAATACACACACATGACCAACATAAAAAGATTGAGTTGCAAACTTCCACATGTCCTCAGACGAGAAGACAATCCTGCTTGGATACACCTGCTCACCTGCTCTTAAGGCAGCGCATGTTGCCAATGGAGACGGAAGCCAGGAGGCCTCTGTCAGCACCCGTCCTCGTCAGACCAGACTCCAGACAACAGTGCTAAAACAGAGAGTGCCAGGCGAATGGTCACTCGCAGCACGTCCAAAACATTCATGCTGAAGATGGGAGAAAACAGGGATAAAAATACGATATAACCCCTTAGGGAAATCCTTATATTGGCAAGGCGATGACTTTTTTCCTTCTGTGCTAATCCCATGTGGTCCTTCCTATAAAGGCACATTCCAGATTATCTGAAAGACAGCCCAGCGGGGACCCTGCTCCCATTACACAAATGCTCTAGTTACGGATCTGGTAAGGTCTGGTGCCACCAGGAAAATAGGAAGATAGTCTTAAGGTCTGCAGAGACAGATGCAGAGTTTTATCTTTTTTTTTTTAACCACAGCTCTCATGGTTTATATTAATAACGTCCGCTGTTTGTTCTCCTTCTTCATCTCTCAAGGCCAGATCCACCTGTAGGGGCTCGGTTCCAACACCGTGCGCCCTCAGTCCCCACCTTCTGCCCTCAGGGCTCTGAGGGCCTCCCTCTTCCAAATGCTTTGCAGGAAACAACACTACCTGCCCACAGCAGCAGTTTACCTGGGGACCCGGGCCGCCCACTCGGCAGCACATTCCCGCACGTGCGAGTCCGTCTAGAGCAGACAGACCTTCTCCCTGGCCCGCGCGGACAGTCGGACCGGCAGCTCTTGCTGGGGAGGCTCTGCAGTGCACTGGGGGGTGTCCAGCCGCCCCCCCAGCCTTTGCCCACTGGATGCGAGTGCTCTACCCCCTACCCCTAATTGCCAGTACC